CATGCGCGTAGTTAGGCCTACCTTTGGTCCAGTACACCCAGTTGGGCGGCGGAGGGGGAGGGGGGACATTTCGCACATTTTCTACTTTCCATTGTCATGCTCATTTCTTCACAAGGGTTGACAAGTACTCTTTACGATAAAAGACAAGCACTGTCTACAAGCTTTGACTGGTACCAGTTCATGACTTCACAAGATTTCCAGGTCTCTACTTGTTGGCTCGACAGGACAACGGGAAACAGCAAGAATGCAAACTGCCCCTGCGCATTGCCAAGGTGCCGCTACCTCTCATCCAGTACTGTGAGGAGAGGCGCGCCAATGAGGAATGTACCTCTTAGGCCGGCCACGCCCATACGGTTAGCGTGGAATGAGGAAGATCCCATAAGAAAACCGAGAAAATGCTCAGGGATCTAAAGAGTGTTTGGGAGAGAAAAAGTGTGATGTTAAAACTCAAAAGGTGATAGGTCAAACACAAATCACACAAGTGGTAATCAAGAGATCACACCACGCTCACATGCTCATCAGGCACCTCCTTGTCATCGTCGTTCGTACAGTCGAAGCTTTCTTCGAGTTCCGTGAGAAAGATCTCCTCCTTCTCGGCAGCTGCGAAATGTTCATGAAACGATCGTGACGCTGCTCCTCCACCATGCCAAGCCCATAGTACTGCCAGACACATGGTCGTTACGAACACCGCCATCACGAAGAACAACAGCCATGCCAATCGTCGATGAACAAGGCACTAAAAGAGCATAAAGTATAAACAGTAACTATGACGGTATAAAGTGGAATTGTGGGTAACCCAACAAATTTTCTGTTTACTTTTCAGATATAACCTCAGCCTCCACCTGGAGGAACTAAAACCGTCATAATAAGAAACATTAAGAGGCGCTGTTCGGCTGGAGGAAACATTTTGCACTTCCTCCAGTTTATTTTGCTAGTACATGTTAGGCTACGTTCATACTTTGCGGCAGCGTTCGCCAGCGACAACAGGCGTCCACCAGTGACCATCAGCGTTTCAAGCGTCCGTCAGCGTTAGCGACTAGGAAAGTATAGATATCGATCTAGCGAACGGCAGCGTCTACCAGCGTCCACCAGCGTCCACCAGCGTCCACCAGCGACCAGGAGTAGATAGTATGGAAAAGTAGGAGGGTAGCAGACTACTGGTAGAGTGGGGAAGTAGGAGAGTAGCAGACTGTATTAAGCGTGGCAAAATCGTGGCGTGCGCGTACAGAACCCCTCTCTTGGTCGCTGGTAGACGCTAGATTGATATCCATACTTTCCTAGTCCCTCGAGACGCTGATGGTCCCTGGTGGACCCTGGTGGTCGCTATGGACGCTGCGGCTGAGCATGAATCCTAACTAGTAAGTTAGCACCTGTTCAGTAACATTCGGTGCCCCTACCAAGCCAAACTGCACCCACTAGTATACAATTTCTATT